CCGGCGTGGTGGCGCAGTGGTTAAGGTCCTCGCCTTGCACGCCCGGGATCCCATATGGGCACCAGTTCTATCCCGGCAGGCCCCACTTCCCTTCCAGCTCCCTGCCTGTGGCCCGGGAAAGCAGTGGAGGACGGCCCAAAGCCTTGGGACCTGCACCCGCGTGGGAGACCCAGAAGAGGCTCCTGGCTTCGGATCGGCATAGTATTGGCCTGTTGCGCTCACTTGGGGAGTGAATCATCGGACGGAAGATCTTCCTCTCTGTATATCCGCCTTTCCAATAAAAAAATAATAAAAATAAATCTAAAAAAAAAAAAAAAGAATGAGTTATTCAGGGCCTAGTGTGCTAGCCTAGTGGGTAAAGTCCTCGCCTTGCATGTGCTAGGATCCCACATGGATGCTGGTTTATGTCCCTGCAGCCCCACTCCCCATGCAGCTCCCTGCCTGTGCCCTGGGAAAGCAGTGGAGGACGGCCCAAAGCCTTAGGACCCTGCACCCACGTGGGAGACCTGGAAGAGGCTCCTGCTTTCAAATCGGCACAGCTCCAGCTACTGTGGCCACTTGGGGAGTGGTCTGGTAGACAGAAGACATTTCTCTCTGTCTCTCCTTCTCCGTCTTTCCAATAAAAATAAATGTTCACTATTTTTAAAGATTTATCTTATTTTTTATTGGGAAGGCAGATATACAGAGACAGAGATGAAGATCTTCCATCGGTTGATTTATTCCGCAATGGCCGCAACAGCCAGAATTGCACCAATCTGAAGCCAGGAGCTCCTCCTCCAGGTCTCCCACACGGGTGCAGGGTCCCAAGGCTTTGGGCCGTCCTCCACTGCTTTCCCAGGCCACAGGCAGGGAGCTGGATGGGAAGCAGGGCCTCCCAGATTAGAACCAGTGCCCATATGGGATCCCAGCACGTGTGAGGTGACTTTACCTGCTAGGCTACCGTGCTGGGCCCATAAATGTATTTCTAAAAAATTAAAAAGAATGAGTTGCTCAGCAGCACTGTCAAGGTTATATGGTTGGCTGAGAAAGGCTAGTCAAATCAGAGTGAAGAATACAGCATTTGCAAGAAACATGTTACATGTACCTGTGGAAACACTAGTGAGAAAGTCAAGAAACACCCCAGTCTACCCGCAGCTAGCTCTGGGAAGAGCCACAGGAGCCAAGTGCCATGTCCCCACGCTCTGACGGCTGGATACGGGGCTCTGCTCTACGTTTTCAACAGGAAGAAGCAGTAGAGCAGACGGCTCTGGTTTGTGTTTGTGAAGTGTTCCCTACAGGTTCCACGTGGGTTAGATGGCTGTAAAGCTTGGGGAACCACACCCCAAAGGAGAAGCTCCACAGGGTTCCTCAAGGGCCACCGGCACCACCGCAAGACCTGAGCTGTACACTACGGAGGCGTGTACATTCAAGGAGCATTCCAGAAACAGTGGATGCACACCAGCCCCTACGGTCAGCATTCCCTTCTTCACACAGAAGCTACCCATGCCCAGGTGGCGGTGACTGCAAGGAACCAGGAGAGGGCAGTGCACGCACAGCTCACCATGTCCCTCCCTACAGCTAAGACATGAAACGTGCAGGACTGCTGGAAGAATCAGGGCAGGAAGGCAGCCCACCACAGCCTCGTCTGACCCAGTTAAAAGTAAAACAGGGGGCCCAGCATGGTAGCCTAGCAGTTAAAGCCCTTGTCTTGCATCCCCTGGGATCCCACATGGGTGCTGGTTCTAATCCCGGCAGCTCCACTTCCCATCCAGCTCCCTGCTTATGGCCTGGGAAAGCAGTGGAGCATGACCAAAGCCTTAGGACCCTGCACCTGCGTGGGAGACCTGGAAAAAGCTCCTGGCTCCTAGCCAGTGCAGCTGCTTGGGGAGTAAATCAATGAATGGAAGATCTTCAATGACTCATAGAGCATGCAGTAGCATCATTTTCTTCAAGAAGGTTCTTGATTTTCTTTTTCATTTCTTCAGCAACACATTAGTCATTCAGTAGCATTGTTATTTAACCTCATGGTGTTGTTAATTTCTTTTTTTCTTCCTGTTGTTTATTTTGTTTCGTGGCTTTTCATTTAAGGGGATGTATAGTAACGGTGTAATGGAGACTGTCATATCTAGTAGCATGTTATTTAGCTTTATGGCATTATAAATTTCTACTTTTCTTCCTGCTGCCGATTTTGTATTGTGGCTTTTCATTTAAAGGATGTATAGTAACTGTGTGATGGAGACTATCATATCCAGATGTGAGGATCCAATGCAGTATGCATCTCTACTTCCAGACAAAGATGGACTCCCAATGCAACTGTTTACTATATGACAATAGGATGCTGGACTCTGCCATTGTCCATGCCCGCAATGATGGACAATGACTGTGTATGAAGAACTATACTGTTGTATAGGGGACTCAGTAAGGGGGCAGGGAATTGGGGAGGGGATAGATAATGGAAATCCCATGATCTATGGAACTGTATCGAAAATGATAACAAAAAGAAGTAAAATTTAAAAAATAATAATAGTGGCACATCAGGCACTTAAAAAAAGGTGAATTAGGTACAGCTCACACACCTGCCAGAGGGACAGGAACCAGTAACTGGGATAGCCCGCTGTCCGGATCATGGGCGAGGCTTACTGCGGGCCTCCCGCCTCCGAGCGCCACCTTCGGAGTGGCAGGAATGTGTCAATGACAATGGCCTACTCTGGACCAGCTCACTTGAGTTAGCAAAGTTCCAGCAAACACTTCTGCAACCTGACTATCGTAGCATCACCGACCAACGGCTCTACACTTGCCAAAACCCTCACAACTGTACACTAAAAGTGATTTCAGGGTAGGAATGTTACTATGCTGAATGAAGCTGGGACAGCTTAGCTAAATGGAAATGTACAAGGTACATACACACTTGCCTGGTACTCTGGTTATCCCACTGCTACAAGAAAAAGGAGACAACACTCTCAGACATGCCCACGTCCAACCCTGCAAGACTCAGGCCTGCAACAAGGGGCACTGGCTTGCACAAGTCCCCGTGTTCTGGTTCAGCACGGCCTTCCCCACGCTCATGAGTCTGCACACGCACTCAGAAACAGCACCTGTTCCCCAGCACCAGCACTCGTGGGAGTTAGCGGCACAGCTAACACACTGCCCATGACAGCCTCTGCTCTACAGAAAGACACATCAAAACTCTGCAAACTCTCGGTACTCTTCAGAGACCCCTCTCTTTTTCTGAAAGCACACAAGCCACCCTTTCCAGAGCATGGCTTGAGGTCAAAGTCAAGGCCTCCCATGGTGGTCATGCCCTCACTGATCTGCTGCCCCCTTTGGCTATCGAGACACTTGCCCATCTGCAACCTTCCAGCATCTCTCCCATTAGGCACTTCCTCAAGGACCCCATCAGCTAGTCCAACTGTAGGCAAGTTCAAATTTCTGGACATGATCTTCTCATGTGCAAGGGGAAACTGCACCACTTAAATAAGCAGGCGGTCTAGGATGCCCTTGTCCACCAGGTTCCCTTTGTCCTTGCCCTTCTGCCCTTCTGTGCTCTGAACAGACTCACGAAGCGGGGCACTGCCTTCTCCCCGTGTCTTCCCAAAGCTCCTGTGAAGATGGCAGCTGCTGCTCTAGCACAACTCCTGCCTCCTGCTCTTCCCTCTCTGTGCTCTCATCTGCAGTCAGACTCAGATTCCTGTTTGTGAAACTCTGTGCTCTGGGTTTACTTCTCTTTCAGTCTCAAACCACAAAAATGTACTCTTCTGAAGCTTCCTGAAATTGTAAAAATTACAGGGTATGTGTCTCTGACCGCTGTAAGCTTTCCATTTGCTGACTTTCCTAATTGTGATGGTGTTGAAGCTGCACAATATACTATCTGTGGTCAAGCACATTACCTTGAAAAGGTATGTATGCCCCACCTGCCACCCTTTCCAACCTGGAGCCAAAGTCCAAGGTCATCAGGACACTGCAGGTCTTGGGAAGCAGGACTCAGCAGGTGCGCAGTCTCCAGGTGCCAACAGCAGGAAGGAGTGAGCGTCCTGGCCCATCCTAGGAGCACACATGCCCAGCTGATGCGACGGCCTCAAGGCCCCCTTGGTCTGAGGTCTTCAGAGGAGTCGGTCCCAAGGACTCTGTCCTGCTAAGTGTGTCGGAGCACTAGAAAAGGGCTGGAGGGAACTGGGCTTGGGGCCTTTTGTGTCTTTCCTTCCACCCCTTGTACCAATAAGCTATCTCGGGAGCAGACAGCAGCCATCATCACACACCTTGACCTTGGAATCTGCAGCCTCCAAGATAACATACGATACATTTCTGTGCTTTACAGGCTAGCCAGCCCAGTACTCTGTTAGAGCAAGACAAGTGGAGTAAGTCAGCCGAGCTCTCAGCACCAAGCCACACCAAGCACCTTTCCAACACTTCTGTCCGCCGTAGTCTGAGCACCCTGGCCAAGCCCTTGTGTGAAATGGAAGACTCTGAACAGGGCAGAAGGCTCAAACAGGCACTTTGCTCATTTCGTCTTACCCAACCAGCCACCCCACTGGCCCTCAAGGCATTCAGTCTTGCCAAAATCAGCAAAATCACTCCGGCTGCTGTGGAGCATACCGTGCCCCATTTCAGGTTTACACCAAGGAAGGCCCGGGGACAGGGCTCATCCATGCCCTTCCGTGCCAGTCCCTCCCAGTGCTCTGAAGTCAGCATCGAGGCACAAGAAGCCTCAATGCACTCAAGTCCTGATAAGCTGCACCTTAAAGATGCTCTTTCCCAGAGAGGGATCACCTCTGTGCACCACAATCTACAAGCGAGCACAGGCTCACATGGTAATCACCTTGCCCTACGCCATCATGTGGCATGTTTGGGTCTTTTGATATTCCAATTAGCCCCCTCCTACTCTCCACACTGACTTTGGAGGTCAAAGAGCATCTGTGTGGCTCCTTGCATAAGCCAGGGCCTCTGAGTGTCAAATAGTCAAAGGCACAGTAGGAAGCCAGACCCCCAACTCTCCTCATGGGCCCTGGTCCTTGCACACTCACAAGGACAGCAGCAAGGAAAAGCCAGCAATGTAGAGATTCCTCTGGGCCCGGAAAAGCTTCATGTGGAAGTGCTCCATCGCTCCAGGGTTGTTCTGCAGGTTCACCTTCTCCGTCACATCGTCATACTTGTAAATCTCACGCACAGCATCTGCGGTGGAGCAGAGGAGACACGAGTGCTCAGCTGCCACGCTGGCCAGAGCGGGCTGGCCAGGACAGGTGGGAGACTCATCAAGCTCACGCCCCCACACACCGAGCCACCATCATCCTCTCCAAGGCTTCCCCAGTCTTTCCTCCAGCTTTTCCCACATCAACTCCCTATACATTGTACTGAAACCACCAGCTGCTCTAGAGGTCAAGATGCTGAGGGGACCGGTGGTGCTACAGCACAGCCTCCCTTGCCTGTCCTGGTCCCCAGCACCACCTTGCTGGAGGCAACAGCTGCTAGGAGCTAAGACCACAGCATGCCTGCTAGAGGCAGGGCCACGAATTCCCAAGCTCTACAAAAGGCTTCATTGTCTACAGCATCTTATTTTAGTTGTCAAAGGGATCCATGCTCATTGAAAGTTCAACCATGCCAGAGCTGTGGGAAGGGAAAGAAGCCGAGACATAATCACCCCCAGCATTGTAAATGCTGTGTGCCCAATTTAAAATTGCTTCAGATCACATTAACCTGATCCTCATTCTTCAGTACACACTGTCTCGGAAATCATCTCCAGTAACTCTCTTGGCCATGACCTTCAAGCTACAGTACGACGACCACAGTAAGTCTGCTACCTTCGCAGGGCCAGGCATGGTTCTGGATACAAACCCAAACTCACACAACTGCTGAGTGAGTGGTCCGGGCTTCATGCACTACCTGTGACCCTGACATACCACTTGGGCAATGATTTGAGCTCTGATGGCAGAGGGTTGGGGCCCTGATACCCATGTATGAGACCCAGAGGAGTCTCCTGGCTCGACAGCTGTCCAACTCCAGCTACTGTAGCCACTTGGGGAGTGAACCAGCAGATGGAAGATTGGAAGATCTCTTTCAAATAAATATTTATAATTAAAAAAAAAAACTATCACTGTAACTGTATATAAAGAGATGGATTTTTCTGGGCCCAGCACAGTGGCTTAGCAGCTAAAGTCCTCGCCTTGAACATGTCCCGCTTCCCATCCAGCTCCCTGCTTGTGGCCTGAGAAAGCAGTGGAGGACGGCCCAAAGCCTTGGGACCCGCACCCACGTGGGAGACCTGAAGGAAGTTCCTGGCTCCTGGCTTCGAATCAGCACAGCACCAGCCGTTGCGCTCACTTAGGGAGTGAATCATCGGACAGAAGATCTTCCTTTCTTTCTCCTCCTCTTTGCATATCTAACTTTTCAATAAAAATAAAATAAATCTTTAAAGAGAGAAAGAGGGTTTTCCTTAAAAAAAGTTTATTAGAAGAGCCAGCCTCATGGTGCAGGTTAAGCTGCTGCTTGGGATGGCAGCACCCCATGAGCACTAGTTCGAATCCCAGCTACTCCATCTCCAATGCAATTTCTTGTGAATGCACCTCGGAAAGTAGCAAAAGATGACCCAATACCTGGGTCCCTGTCCCCGCACTGGAGACTGGATCAAGCTGCTAGCTTCAGTCTGGCCTAGTCCTGGCTGTTGCAGCCATCGGGTAGTGAACCAGCAGATGGGAGATCTCTCTCTCCCTAAACCTATTGTCAAATAAGTCTATCAATTTTTAAAATAAAAGTTTGAGGGGCTGGTACTGTGGTATAGCTGGTAAAACCACAGTCCACAGTGCCGGCACCCCTTATGGGTGTGGGTTCATGTCCTGGCTGCTCCACTTCCAATGCAACTCATTACTAGCGGTCTGGGAAGGTAACAGAAGATGGCTTCGGGACCTTGGCCCCCCGCATGTACATGGAAGACTGGGGGGAGGGAAGCTCCCAGCTTCAGACCAGCCAAGCTGCAACGGCTGCAGCTGGATGTAAACTCGCTCCCTCTCTCTGTCATTCTGCCTTTCAAATACAATTAATAAATCTTTTTAAAAAACTTATTTAAAAGGCTGAATGATGGAGGAGAGGAACAGAAGAGAGAGAAAAGGAGAGGTGGGAGGGAAAGCAGGGGAAAGAAAGATCTTCCACCTACTGGCTCACTCCCCAAATACCTGCAACAGCCAGGCTCGGCCAGGTTGAAGCCAAGAGCTAAAACTCTATTCATTTCTCCCACAGGGAGCTCAAGTACTTAAGCAATGGCAGAAAGTGGAATAACCAGAATTCCAACTGGCACCCCGAAATGCAATGTGGGTGTCCCCGTGGTAGCACCAATCACTGCACCAGGACACCTGCCCGAGCCAGTTTTTGTCAATCTATTGAAGAAACAACCTCCTGAGCTAGTACACTGGTTAAGACAGCTGCAGCCCACAGCGTACCTGGCTTCAACCTCAGCTGTCTATTGTGTGTGACAGCCCAAAGAGCTGGGTCCCCTCCTCCACGTGAGAGGCTAGCACTGAATCCCCATTCCCTGGCCTATGTATGCCTTGCCCCATCCACTGCAGGTACCTGCAGAGTGAATCCGTAGATGAAGCACATATGAATGAACTCTCATTCAGCAAAAACTTTAGGAACCATAGATCATCACTTCAAAAGGTTTAGTTCTTAAGCTCTGGTCTTAGGCTTTACTTACGTTTTTAAGAAAGTACTTATCTAAAAGGCAGAGACAGGGTGACAAAAAGTGGGAGAGGGAGACACAAAGATAGAGGTCCTCTGATCACTAGCTCCCTGTCCAAATGCTAGAAGCAAGCTGGGCCAGAGGCCCAGAACTCCATCCGGGTCTCTCCCCGAGGAGGTGAGGGACCCAAGTACTTGAGGCGCCATCTTCTGCCTCCCGCATTCTGCAGCAGCAGCAAGCTAAAACTTGAAGCATCAGTATCTGACACCAGGCCCTCTACCAGAAGATGCAGAGCCCCTGAGTGGCGTCTTTCCTGCCCTTTGTTTACCTGAGAAGCAGACAGTGCCCCACAGAGCTCCCTAACAACGCCAGGGCTGACGGTCAGAGCAGAACCCAGTCTCCATCACGGGCTAATGGGAAGCTAATGGCACTGGCACAGGATGCCCACCATCCTAACCATCTTGACCACCAGGCTCAACTCAACGCCCACCCTGACTGCTTGGCCGTACAAGCTGATTTTGCATAATAAAAATCTACCTTCCTTTCCTGTCTCACTGTCAACAAGAATATAAATTAATAGCACACCTGTTATAAAATGTAAAATCTCACCCCCTAAGGGTCAGCAGTCCTTCTTACTGAATGTATGCCAAGGAAGCCTATGCAGAGATGTACAAGCACAACAGGATCTGGCACTGCTACACAAGAGAATAGTATGCACTCTTTTTTTTCCTTTTTTAAGATTTACTTATGTTTATTTGAAAGGCAGATTTACACAGAGAAAGCTATAGAGGAAGATCCATCCACTGGTTCACTCCCCAAGCAGCTGCAATGGCCAGAGTGAGTCGACCTGAAGCCAGGAGCTCTTCCGGGTCTCCCGCACGGGTGCAGGGTCCCAAGGCTTTGGGCCGTCCTCGACTGCTTTCCCAGGCCACAGGCAGGGAGCTGGATGGGAAGTGGGGCTGCTGAGACATGAGCCAGCTCTCATGGGATCCTGGCACTTGGAAGGTGAGGATTTAGCCACTGGGTCATTGTGCTCCGGGGAACAGAGAATAAGCACTCTTAAGAACAAAAGAGCAGCAGATGGTGTGGCATAGTAAACTAAAGCGTCACCTGCAATGCCAACATCCCATATGGGTGTGCATTTGCGTTCTAGCTGTTCCACTTCTAGTCTAGCTCCCTACTGATGCACCTGGGAAGGCAGGGGATGATGGTACAAGTCCTTGGGTCCTTGAACCCACATGGGAGACCTGGAGGGAGCTCCTGGTTTCAGACAGCTCAGCTCCAGCTGTTGCAGACATTTGTGGAGTAAACCATCAACTGGAAGATCTTGTTACCTTTCTGTGTGTGTGTGCGCGTGCGCATGCACACGTGCACATAACTGGGCCTCTTAGATATTAAAAAAAAAAAGAAAGAAAAAAGGCATCCCAAACATTGTGTACATTGCATATATAATCACACTAACAAGAGAACAGAGATGTCAGCACTGAGAAGAGCAGGTGGCTGCCTGTAGGACTTTCACTGTCTCAGTTCAATTTGCAAGTTCTCAGAAATAAGTCAATGCTACTTTTAGAATCAGAAGACTAAAAAGTCTTCTTACAATGCCACCTGCATTGAGGAATCAGCATGGCAAGGCCTACCCTGGTCATCAGCCTGGGCTAGGGGATCCTGGCTCCACCGAGCACAAGCTGCCTTCTACCCAAGACGTGGGCCCTAGCCTCCCGCCCACTGCTCTCCTGAGCCTCTGCCAGCAAACAGCAGGGCCGGGCCAGGCTGTAACTCCACTAGCTGCACCCACTGCCTTTCACTAACCAGCTTTGCTGTTCACTGCCACTTCTGTTTGTAGAGGGCTCTGCAGCTCTCTCCAGATTCTTAACCAGGCTAAGCAGCAGCCCACTGCTACAGCCATATGTCCCTCTACAACTTCTGAGCACTTTCTAGATCCGAAAGAAACAAAAAACGAATCCATGGCCTGTCAAGTACTCAGAGCTGGAAAGTTTCTTCCTGGCCTGCTGAGCTGTGGTAGAAAAGAGATGGACGCTTATGGTGGTGGTAGGTGGAAAAACTGGGCAAGGGCAGAGATCTAGCCGAGCCCAGGATGGCTCTGGGACTTGTTCCCAGGCTCTGCTGCCACGTAGCCCAGTCTTCCCTTCACACAGGTACACAAGGCCTTTCCGAAAGGCTCCTTCTACGTAGCTGCTCGACCCCTTGTTGGAGACCCTCTTTCAGACAATTTAAATGACTGGGAAACACCAGTACTTAGACCAAGACCCTGAGCCAGTCAACACCTCTTTGCTTTGGTTCCAGAACACTCAGAGGACCAAGCTCAGAAATGTGAGGCTGCAGATAAAGACAGCTGCCACCCCCTCCCCCCGCCACTCGAGGAGTCGCGCTCACCCAAGCCCTGGCAGCAGCACCTCTTTCACAGGCGGAAGGAGCTTCTTGCCCAAAAGACACCTCCCGTCCCAGTTGGCACCATGTGGCTTGGCAGAGGCCACAGCCCACTCACCAATGAGCAGCAGCACGAGGATGCCAATGAGCACCACGAAGAAGGTGTTGCCATAGGTCACAGCCAACTCTACCAGGCGGGACTTGAAAATCTTCTGCCACCTGTGAAGCAGCAGACAAGGACAGGGGCTGCGGTGAGCGCACACCACACTCACTGTGCGGGATACATCGCACAAGGTCCACTCTGCGCTCTTCTCCACAGCCCCATTCATAGCATCCACTCTAGAGTGCATTTAAAAGAAGGTGCCTGTCCATGGACAGGACGCTCTCCAGGGAGCCAGCCTGGCTGTCACTGTACCCGCCTTGGCAGTATTCTGAATGCCTGTCTCATGGAGCCAGCGTCAGGTAGCCGTGGGTTAAGCTGCTGCCATGTGGACACTAGGCTTCGAATATCACATGCTCCACTTCTGATCCAGCTCCCTGCTTCTAACCTTGGGCCCGTGCACCAGTGCGAGAGACCCTGGCTAAGTTCCCAGGTTCCTGGCTTCAGACTGGCCCAGGCACAACTGCTGTGGGCATCTGGGCAGTAAGCCAGTAACAGAAAACCTATCTCTCTCTGCCTTTCCCGTGTGTGTGCGTTTTTTACAAGAGCTATTTGAAAGGCAGAGTTCTCTCCACAAAGGACCATAATGGGCGGGGACTCCAACAGGGTCTCCCATGTGGGTGCAGGGACCCAAGGCTTTGGGCCGTCTTTCAGTGCTTTCCTAAGAGCATTAGCAGGGAGCTGGAGAGAAGTGGAACAGCCACACCCAAATGAGCCCTCATATGGTTCCAGCATCACAGGGGGTGGCTTATCCTGAAACTCCACAACACTTTCCATTCACAAATTTTAAATGAAGAATAATTTTTTTAAATTGTGGATGTTTAGGCTTATCCGAAAGATTCTAATTTCAATCACAATGTGTTCCTCGGGGGATGCTGATGCTGAGGCTCAGGCGATGGGGGGGTGCTGGGAGAGCAGGGCCCACTGGGACACACCAGGGTGATGACTCGGCTTCCCTTCAGGGTATGTGACAGCACCCTGCTGCCCCCAACTCAGACCCGCTGCACCTGCTTCCCAGGGGTGAGGGTGGCCTTGCGCACAGGCCCCTCCCCCGCCAGCATACCTTTTGGGGGAGATGAAGGGAATACACAGCAGCAGCACAGCAAAGACCTCTGCGTAGAGGAAGGTGGCCACCGCGGTCCACTGCAGACTCATCGTGCTGTCAGCCTGCCCGCGGGGAGAGCGCCGCAGCTTCTGTCCTGCCGGGGCACGGAGGGAGAGCAGCGCAGTCAGAGCGCCCGCGGCCACGGCACAACCGGCCCGGCTGCTGCTCAGCAACAACGCAGGCCAAAGGCCCTAGCCGACCTTCGCCGACTGGGAGAGGGGTCGCGCCAGCCTGCGGGGGCCGCACTCGCTCTGCTCGACGGAGCCCGCGCCCCTGTGTGCAAGAGCAGCGCGGGTGCAGGCAGAGCTGCCGCAGACGCCCGCAGCACCCCTGGCCCGGCGCGGCCTCCCGAGCTCAAGGCCTTTGCACGGCCGCTTCTGCGTCTGATGGAGACGGCAAACCCCGGGCGCCTCAAGACACTTTCGTTAACAAGGCCCGGCAGTGGGACTACCCGAGGGCGGGAGTCGGGGCCAAGACCGAAGGCAAGCCTCAACTGAGCACCTCAAGGCAACTGTCCAAAGAAAGTTCTAGAAGAAGGCCTCAGCAACCAGAGGCGTCCTCCTGGTAGTCCTCGTGGGCCAACGCGCCCACTCAACTGGGGAGCCGCGGAGCGGCCCCAGTCACCCCCAGCCCCGTGCGCGACGCGGCCCAGCACTGTGCCCGAGGCCCACGCCGGGGGGCTGCGGGGAAAGGGGAGCCTCTGCTCCCGCCGCCCCCGCGCCCCCGCGCCCCCACAGCCGGTTCCACCTGCCGCCGCCCCAATTTCTCCGGGCCCGGCCCTGCCCTCTCGGGGCGCCGCGGAGATGCCCACGAGCTCGGGCCTCGGGCCACGGCCCCCGGGCCCTGCCCCGGCCCTCCCGCCCCGAGCCCGCCGCTCACCGACTTTCCCACCGTCTCCGAGCACGCCCCGCACCAGCCAACCGACTCTCCACAGCGCCCGCCCCGCCCCTCACGCCGCGGCCGGAAACCGGAAGCGCCTGGCAGGCCCGCCCTTAGAGCGTGCGTTCCCCGGAAGGCCCCGCCCCCTAGCCGCGTGCCGAGCACCGAGAACTGAGAGGAAAGCGCGTCCCTCCGGCGGCGGCGGAACGGCGCAGCTTTGGCGGGAAGGCCGGGCAGCCGGTCTAGCCCGCGCGGTCGGCCCACGTCTCTGTGGTCCAGGCAGGGGGTGGGGCGAGAACGGGGTGGGGCGACCCGCGCCCGGACTCCGCCTCCTCCCCTGCCCCCGGCTCGCCCCTAGGGAGGGCTGGGTGGGTGGGGATTCGAGGCCGGTGGCGGAGTCACTGTCGCTTCAGCCAGGCTGCGGAGCGGACGGACGCGCCTGGTGCCCCGGGCAGGGGCGGCCATCGGGGGAGGAGAAGGAGGTAGAGGGTAAGAGGAGCCCCTCTGCCCGAGACCTCCTGAGGCTCTGGGGGCACTGACACGCCACAGGATCCCGGTTTCTCCAGCTGGGCTGCCTGAGGAAGCCTGGAGCCTGGAGGGTCCTGAGCCCAGCGCACCAGGGGCCCCAGCAGCAGCCCGAGCGACCTAAAGGGACAGTCTCTCGGAGTGAGAGCAGCAACCACCCCCTCCAGCCGCCTGCGTCGACCGCCACCCCAGGCCCCAGGCCCAGCCCCGGGGGGAGGGGGTGTGCACACGCGGGCCTGAGCACCTGCCCCGGTGACATGCCGGTGCTGTCCACGCCACGGCCCTCGCGGGCCACCACGCTGAAGCGCACGGCCGTGATCATGGCTCTCGCGGCCTACGGAGCCCACAAACTCTATCCTCTGGTGCGACAGCGCCTGGGCCTGACCAGGGGCTCTCCCCAGGTGCCAAGGGGGGAGCCCACGCAGGAGGCCCCTGGGAGCACAGCAGCCAAAGCTGGCATGAACCGGGTGTTCCTGCAGCGACTCCTGTGGCTCCTGCGGCTGCTCTTCCCCCGGGTCCTGTGCAAGGAGACAGGGCTGCTGGCGCTGCACTCTACTGCCCTGGTGAGCCGGACCTTCCTGTCGGTGTACGTGGCCCGCCTGGACGGAAGACTGGCCCGCTGCATCGTGCGCAAGGACCCGCGGGCCTTCAGCTGGCAGCTGCTGCAGTGGCTCCTCATCGCCCTGCCTGCCACCTTCATCAACAGTGCCATCCGCTACCTGGAGGGCCAGCTGGCCCTGGCCTTCCGCAGCCGGCTGGTGGCCCACGCCTACAGCCTCTACTTCTCCCAGCAGACCTACTACCGAGTCAGCAACATGGACGGGCGCCTGCGCAACCCGGACCAGTCTCTGACAGAGGATGTGGTCGCCTTCGCCGCCTCCGTGGCCCACCTCTACTCCAACCTCACCAAGCCGCTCCTGGATGTGGCCGTCACCTCGTACACCTTGCTTCGAGCAGCGCGCTCCCGCGGCGCCGGCACAGCCTGGCCCTCGGCCATCGCCGGCCTCGTGGTGTTCCTTACAGCCAACGTGCTGCGGGCCTTTTCGCCCAAGTTTGGCGAGTTGGTGGCCGAGGAAGCCCGGCGGAAGGGAGAGCTGCGCTACATGCACTCTCGTGTGGTGGCCAACTCAGAGGAGATCGCCTTCTATGGGGGCCATGAGGTGGGACGGGCTGGGTGCTGGGCATGGCAGGCCCCCAGGCAGGCGCCTAGCAGCAGTGGGGAAAGCCCCGGGCCAGCCGAGGCCGTGGTCTGGGGAGGCCGCGGGAAGGGCAGCGGCGAGTGGCCAGGGCCTTGGACAGCTGCAGTCTTGGGTGCAGAACGGAAGGAGCAGGAAGGCGGGGGTGGGGGGCTATGCTGCCTGCGTGCTGCTCAGGCCTTCCACTTCCTCTCCTGGGCAGGCAGGTTGTCCTCAACTTGCAGCTGCAGATCCTAGCGGTTTGAGGAGACGCCTGCCGGCTGGGCGCGGGGACAGTGTGCGGGGAGCCTCTCCTGGGCCCCTAGGCCCTTTGAAGGCCGGCGTCCAGCAGGGCTGGCCGGCAGGGCAGCAGGCATTATGGGTATGACTCAGCCCAAGCCGAGGTTAACGAGCAGCTCCCAGCGCGACGGCACAGCGGCAGTGCTTGGGGTCAAGGCCACCAGCTGGAGCCCTGAGCCTTCCTAACTACCAACCAGCTCGGCCGCCTCCCCGCAGCAGCTCCAGCTGGGGATGGTGAGTCCCCGCAGCCGCCGCCGGCGGAACAAACTTCCTGCTCCCCCAGCAGCTGCCCTGCCCGGTGTGGCCGCCCTTCCGCCTGGGTCCCAGGAGCATAGCTGCCTGGCGGGCTGGGGCCGAGCCGAGGCCAGCCGGGATTGCGCGCGGGGTTACTCCGGGCCAGCGCTCCCTTTATCTCGCCTCGGCCCCTCCCTTGTGCCTGCGGACGCTGCTGCCCCGGCCCCGCCGCTGCTCCTGCAACTCGGGTTTCAGTTCCCCCGGCTTCTTGGGGGAGGGGCCGCGGCAAGAGTCTCCCAGAGGCCTAGACCCTTGCTCCTGGCTGCGGTGGCCTTTGGCCCGGGCAGTCTTGTCTGAAGAGAGGGGCAGCAGGGTGTGAGCTGGGTCTCCTCCCGGCCTGCCGAGCCACCACGCCCTGGCAGGCAGTCATGGCCCGGGGTGAGGAGTTTGGCACATTCCTCGCAGCCACATTTGTCAGGCTTGGCCAGCACCCCTGCCAGCTCAAGTGTGCCTCGCCAGGGAGCTCAGTGGAGGCATGCTCACTTCAGGAAGGGGTCCCCGGGCTTGCAGGAAGCTGAGCTGTGAGGGCCGCCTGGTGCTTTGAAGGGCTTGCTGTGGACTGGCTTCAGGAAATGGCACCGACAGGGTTCACTTGCTGGGCCGAAGGGCGCTAACGGGGCATCCAGAGGCTGGCTGTGTACGCTTTGACTGGAGAACTTACACTAACACAAGACTTTGTGGGACCCCAGTCCCCCGTGAGGGGTCGTCCGCCCCTTGCTGTGGGACTGTGGTTCCGCAGGCAGGCCCCTTGGCTGAGGTTCCTGTGACCCAGAGCCCAGCCTTGGGCCAGCACATTAGAGCAGACGGAACTGGCTGCACCTCAAAGCAGAGGCTTGCTGACGCGCACATCCAGGCACAGGCTCAGCCTCCTCGCGCTGGATCACAAAGCAGGTGTGATCAGAACATCTTCACAGCAATCTGCTTGTAACAGTCTTGCCAGTGTGGTCCAAGTTCCCACGTTGCTTGCTCCCTGCAGGCTGTGTGAGCTGAGGCAGGCCGCTTGGCCTCTCTGGGCTTCAGTGTCTTACTGGTCATGCTATGCGCATGAGCGTATGCATGCAGTGAGACACAGACCCACAGGGAGGCATGAGAAAGTGCTGGGCAGACTTTGCCGGGCTGGGAAGCTGTTGTAAGGCAGGGCTGGGCGTGTGCTGTGCACCAGGCAGGAGATCCAAGACTCCACAGCCCGCTTCCCCGGAGCACTTCCTAATCCCTGGGGCCTCTGCTTCCTGCCTGCTACCGCCCCTTTCCCGCCTTACCCCATCCAAAGGTGGCACATGGCAGCCAGCGCTGGAAGGAGAGCTATAGAGTAGGAGGCAGCAGAGCCAATCCAAAGAGTGTGCTCGCCTGGGTTGCCATGGGAAAATGCCTTGCGATTTTCTCACGGAGAGCGACCATGGGAAAATAGAGGTCCATGCGGCCTAAGGAGGCCAAAGTGGGTGAACTGAGCTTTCCATAAGCGAGAGCATTGCCGTTGGCTCTCCTCTGTTCATCTTTGGTTACTCAGGGCAGAATGGTAAGAGCTAATGATCTTTGGGGGGGGGGGTAGGTGAGGGACAGTGTTCTGCCTGAGTAGCAGTGGCAAGGGAATGCTGGCAGGGAGCAGAGCAGTACAAGGTGGCTGCCATGGGCCTGCATGGGTCTACGTTGGAGAGGTGACACATGGCATGGGAGTCGAGCCGCAATATCAGGCTGTCCCTTATTCCCACCTCAAATTTGAGCCCCTGGCCCTGCCCAGCCATGTCTGCCAGCCCATCCAGTGAGTGGCTTAGAGCATGTAAATGGTGCTTGAGGGCTCTCCCCTTTGCCCCCAGCCCCGTGCCCAGGAGTTGCCACAACTGTTTCCCGTGCAGGTGGAACTGGCACTGCTGCAGCGCTCCTACCAGGACCTGGCCTCGCAGATCCACCTCATCCTGCTGGAACGCCTGTGGTACGTCATGCTGGAGCAGTTCCTCATGAAGTATGTGTGGAGCGCCTCGGGCCTGCTCATGGTAGCCGTGCCCATCATCACTGCCACTGGCTATTCAGAGTCAGGTGAGAGCCTCGTGGCTAGGCTGCTCATCCAGCCTGCCGCCCTATGTGCCGGCCCCCTTGGGCGGGCTGGCTTTGTAGCCCCTTGGTGCCTTCCAGCCTGCACACACTCCTTGGGAGCACTCAGCCAAGCCCAGGACTGCACGTGTGCCCTCGGCCCTGCCTTATGCTCGGCCCAAGCTGGAGGAGGTAGGGAGGATGTTGTCTGAGCCCCTTCATTAGCCAAGCCTTGGTGTTCCCAGCCCTGAGTTGGCTCTAACAGGTGGCAAGTCAGAGGCCCAACCTAGGCCTTCCCCCTTTGCCTCGTGCAGTCATGAGCTGGGGTTCCTTGTTCCCTTTTGTTTCTCTAGCGGTCTGCATTTTACTCTGTTTTCAGTCTATTGGAAGTTCCCTCTAAATGATAACACACACATCTAAAAAGTCTTTTGTGTTTAAAGATTTGTTTTTATTTGAAAGGCAGAGTTACAGAAAGAGAAGCAGAGAGAGAGAGAGAGAGATCTTCTATTTGCTGGTTCACTCTCCAAATTGTTGCAATGGTTAAAGTTGTACCAGGCTAAAGCCAGGAGCCAGGTTCCCTATGTGGGTGCGGGGGCCCAAGAACTTGAGCCATCTTCCAGTGATTTCCAGGGCCATTAGCAGGGACCTCGATGTAAGTGAAACAGCCAGGACATGAAGCAGTGCCTATATGGGATGCCAGCACTACAGGCAGAAGCTTAATGCTGACACCAGCCCTAAAAACAGCCTTGAGTTCATCAGTAGCGCCCTTTTCCTAGACTTCAGTGCTTGCTTGCCTGGAAGAACCATCCAGTCCATATGAGCATAGCCAACAGAAAGTTAGGGGTTTTATTCTGGGCTCTGCCAGCATCCTGTCAGTGCATCTGAGCTCACCCACGAGTCTACTCATTGCTTTGCTCACCCTCCTATTGAAAAGAAAAAGATTTATTTGTTTTGTTTGAAAGACAAAAGTTGTAAAGAAAGGGAAGGAGAGACAGAGAGAGAGATCTTGCAGGCACTGATTCACTCCTCCAAATAGTGGCCAGGCCAAAGCCCGGAGCCCGTAACACCCTCAGAGTCTCCCACATGGTTGCAGGGGTCCAAGTACTTGGGTCTTCTGCTGTTTTGCCAAGTGCATCAGCAGGGAGTTGGATGGGAAGTGGAGCAGCTAGGACTTGAACCAGCACTCATCGGTGTCATAGTTGGTAGCCTGACCCACTCTGCCAGGGTGCCTGCCCCCCCCCCCCGCCATACTCTTCAGCCTAGGCTCTTCTGTGCTCAGTTATTTTCTTCCAGATAGGCATCGTGGAGAGTCCTTTCAGCAAGGGTTTCATCTTGGAAAGTTCGTGATTATTTTGTTGTCCAGAAATGTCTATCTCATCATTATTCCCGAGCTGAAATTTTATTTGAGTGTGGGAATCTAGGTGGACAGTTACTTTCTGTCAGTCTGTTGTTGTTTTGTTTGGAAGACAGAGCTACAGAAAGAAGGAGGCAGGTATTTTCCATTCGCTGGTTCACTCCACAGATGGCTACCATGGCCGGTGCTGGGCACATCTGAAGCCAGGAGCCTCCTCCGGGTCTCCCACATGGGTGCAGGGTCCCAAGGCTTTGAGCTATCCTCCACTGCTTTCCCAGGCCACAGGCAGTGAACTGGATAGGAAGTGGAGTAGCCAGAACATGAACCAGTGCCCATGTGGGATGCTGACGCTGCAGGCAAAGGCTTAACCTACCACACCACACCACGGCACCAGCCCCATTCTTTCTTTTTGACAACATCTCTCCTTTTCTGGGGTTGTTAGTGTAATTGCCTTCCCATAGTAACCTGCAATGCCTTCTGGGAACTTTTAGAATCTTCTTTCCGTTCTCCTCATCCATGTGCAGTGTCCCTGCCGTGTACTCAGACGCAGGCTTCTGGTTTTCCTTGTTGAGACTTGCTGTAGGTCCTGGGGACATACGTGAGTGCAGGGCAATGCGTTCTTCTAGAGTCTTTTCAGCCACTATCTCATCAAATGTCACCCAAGATCCCTTTTGCTCTCTCCTGCAACTCCTGCCAGCTGTCTCTTCAACCTCCCCAGACCCACAGTCCGCACACCCGCTCACTGGCTCAGCCAAGTCTACTCTGAAGGTTTTTTGTTTTTAATGTTTCAGGGACTGTTTTTCTAAGTAGTATTTGGTTCTATATCAAATGGAAGCTTAAAAGAAATTTGCTTTTTAGTACATAAATTTCATGTAGCTTTTTTTTTCATTTCTAAAAAAAAAAAGATTTACTTAGTTTATATTTGAAAGACAGAATTATAGGTGGGGCAGGGAGGGAAGGAGAATTTTCCATCTGCTAGTTTACTCCACAGATTTTCTATAATAGCTGGAGCAAGGCTGATTTGAAGTTCAGAGCCAGGAACTTTTCCCAGGTCTTCCACATGGGTGCAGGGGACCAAGCACCCGGGCCATCCTCCACTGCTCTCCCAGTGCATTAGCAGGGAGCTGCATCAGAAGTGGAGCAGCTGGAACTCGAACCAGTGTCCTACAAGATGCCAGCTCCACAGATAGAGGCTTTGCTTGCTATGCCATGGCACCAGGCTCCTGTAAATATGTTCTTTCCATCTCTCTTGAGACGCTGCTTTGATGCTGGATACCATCTTATTAAAGATTTATTTAGTTGAAAGGCAGAATAAGAGAGATCTATTTACTGACTGACTCCCTAACTGGCTACAAAACCCACTGCTGGGCCAGGCAGAAGTTGGGAGTCTAGAACTGCATCTGAGTTTCCCATGTACGTAGCAAGGTTGCAGGCACTTGAACCACCAACCGCTTGCTTCCCAGGCACATTGGCAGGAAGATGGGTCAGATATGGAGTAGCCAGGACTGTAGGCAGTGCTCTGACATGCGATGTGGTCGTCCCCAGTGGTGGTTTCACCCCTGCACCACCATCCCCACTCCTGGGTACCATATGGATCACACTTATCCCCCCAATCCCTCTCCAGCTGATAGCTTTTCTCCTCAGGAGGGCATGTGCCCCCTTCCCTCAGGTGGGGTGGGGCCCACTTCCTGTGGACTCTGAGGCAGCGCTTCCAGGAGTCCAGTGACCCCCATGCAGTGTGTAATTCCTTGCTACCTATTGGGTTTGTTTGTACCAAGCACTCCGGGAGTAATTAGCCAGGTGGAGGCCTTATTCATGGGCAGTTCTCAGCTTGGCCAGGAGGACGCAGTCCTGACCGTGGAGGTAGTATTCACTCAAAGCCCAGACACATAATTACAGATTCTCAGGGTGACCATTTTTTCCCTGCACCTGGAGCCCCAGCTAAAGGAGCAAAGCTGTAGGTCTGATGCCTAGCCCTGGGGGATCTGCACCCTCCCCCTGCTAGCCCTCCAGTTCAGCTCTGCGGTCCAAGCACTTCAAGTTTGTCCATTGTGGTGGCAACCTTTTCTGCAGCTGCAGGTGGCCAATGCAGCCTGACTCATCTTAGTAACAGAAGGCCCCTGCTTCTCTCCCTGCTGTGCCCCCACCTCGGACTGTGCACCCTCAACCGTCCATGTCCCTCTCAAGAGGAAAACTGCGCCAGAGTGGACAACTACTTTCACCACATAGGCTTCCATGGAAACGGTGGCCTAAAGTCACACACAGGCACCCAGACCCAAGGTTCCCAGGCATGTGGGCCAACCCACGGCTGCAGCCACTGTCTCCATGGCTGTCTAGTTCCTTTACAGTCTGGAAACTTGGAGCCTCTGCTGTGCAAGGCTTTGTAGGTGATTCCAAGCAATATTTCAAAGGTTATCTTTGAAACCTGAGAAAGGCTCCATTCCTCCCTTGCGCCCGATCTGCTTCCTGCCTTACCGGCCTTCTTGTTACTCCTGCAGAGGACACAGGATTCTGCCTCGGGGCCTTCGCATGTGCTGCCAAGATTGCTCCCTGTTCTACTCTGCCGGGTTCTGCTATCAGGCTCCCTCTTGGCACGGCCTACCTCAACTTGCTGCCTTTTTTCCCTTGCTCTGCCTTCCTGCCCTGCCCAGCGCCAGCACCCTGCCTGCGTCACAGCTGGAGCTGCTCACTCTGTCTCTCCCCAACCTTAGATTGTGGAGAGCTGGCTAGGGGCAACTGGCCTGCGGGGGAACTATAGCTTCCACTCCAGCGCAGAGGCCTTCCCGGGCCTCTCGGAGGGCCTTTGCTCCCTGCGAGCTGAGGGAGCCTGCAGAGGGCAGTTTGTTTCCTGTTCTAAAAGGTACCAGCTATTGCCAGGGTGTTCTGGCTACATGTACCTGCTGGCTACTCCCATGGTCGCTAGTGACTGTCCGGCTCTCCTGGCCGCTTGCTGGGGCTCTGTCCTTAGGACCTTAGGCTTCGGGATTCATACCCCCATCTCTCCAGCCAGATTTAGTCACCTGCTCTCTTAGACAGGGCCCCAGTAGGCCCTGGGAGGCACTCTGCCCATCCCTCCTGGCCCCTGTCTTGTGACCACAGCTCTGAGCTGACCCGTGCTCCTTCTCCCAGCCCATCCCTGTCCCCACGAGACCCTCAACCCTAGAGCCACACCGGCCTTTGGATGGAGTTCTTGGGCTACTCACGGAACCCTCTTTCCTGCCACCCTGAGGCCTTACTACTGGGTGCTGCTTGCCTACCAGGGTCCAGAACCGTCAGTCGGCCTCCTCTCTACTCCCTCTGCCACTTCCAAAAATTCCTTGTGTGAAAAGCTTTCTGAGAGTTCCAAGAGTCAAATGAGTCAGGGCCATTGGCAGTAGCTAGATGGGCGTGATCACAGAAACTAGCACAAAAGCAGGTTAAGGGGCAGCTCTTAGGAGAAAACTAGAGGTTAAAGAGAGCATGGCCATGGTATGGGGGTCAAGGGCATGGCCTCAAGGGAGTATATGAGGGAGAAATTGGCACAGCAGTGACGGTCATAAATTCTCGTTTCAAAGACGGACAGCTCTGGCATTGGGTGACTAGGTTCAGGGGTGAGCCAGGAGGACAGATATGGAGTAGCGCAGAGCAGAAGGCAAAGGCATCCTGGTGGAAGGAGCCAGGTTGCGCCAAGAAACAGCCAAGGGCATGGTGGAGGTTTGGGTTTTGCTTTAGTTTAGGCTTTTCTTTCTCATACAGTGAGAAGCTAGAGGGACAGAGATGGAAGGTTTTATTTTGTAGACTAGTTTTAAGTTGTTTTAAATGAACACAGGACAACTGTATGTGCTTACAGTGTACACTGCACATGTACAATGGGTAGGGATCAAATCAGTGACTTTTCAACAAAATAAACAAATCTTGAAACAAAAATCAGTGTCCTGAACCTCTCCGGGTTCGTCGGCAGGCTTCACTTCTTTGTGTTGGGAGGCTCTGACTCCTGTCTTCTAGTTCTTTAGCAAACACTCAAGAAATGACGTAGAACTGCTGCCTGTCACAGCGGAGGACATGTCAGCCTCCCTCTTTCTGTCACCCGGCCTCGCTCTGTCGCTGCCCTCCACGCTTAGTCTCTATGGCCTCTGTTCTTCTCTCAACTGCGAAGAGAACAGCCCTTCTTGATCCCACATGCGAACGAAATCACGGAATGCCTGTCTCTGTGCCTGGCTTATCTTCCTTAACATGACGGCCCCTCATCCCATCCTGTTGCCACAAATCACAGGATTTTCTTCTTTTTTGCGCGGCTGAGTTTTTGCAGCAGTATTATTAAGCTGGAGTTCTCATGCCAGGCATTCCAGCCTTTGATGCTCGTGATTCAGCCGTTTTTAATGTATCTGGAGTTGTGCAACTATCAGCACCGACCCATTAGCAGCTACCCTCCCCTTGCCAGCTTTTGACAACCGCACACCTTTTCCTGTCCCCGTGGCTGAGCCTCTTGGGGACATTAGTGGACTCATACAACCATGAAGCCTGTCAGGTCTGGCTTCAGTAACTGAGCACAGTGGTTTCCAAGATCCATCCGTATTTTTCAGAGAATCAGTTCTTTCTTTTTTATGGCTGAATCATATTCCATTATAGACAAACAATTGGTCCATTCATCCACTGATGGACAAGCGGGTCGTTTGGCCCTTCTGGTGACCGTAAGTAGCACTGCCGCTGTGAGCAAGCCCGAGTGAGTCTGTGGGCCCACATGTGGCGGCCAAGCAGCTGTGAGGAGGTAGTTTCTCGTGGTTTGAACGTGTAACTTCCTAATGGCAAATCATATGCCACATCATTCCACGAGCTAGGGAGTTTATTGATCTTGTTTGGCCAAATCTTTTTGGATGATTTTCCCCTGGGTGTTTTGTTTGGTTGCTTGATTTGTTTGTTCAAGAGGGGAAGGAAGACAGCGCATGCCCTGCAAGAGTTCACTCTGCAAAGGCCTGTGCTGCTCAGGGATGGGTCTCTTTGTTGTTAAGTTGTAAACATTCTTTATATATTGTGGATGTCACAGCCTTATCAAATATGTGCTTTCCAAATATTTGCCTCCGGCCTGTATGTTCCCTTCTTATGTTCTTGATCATGTTCTTTGATAGACAAAAATAGGGTTAGTTGCTCTATGGTTCTTTAAAAAAAAAAGATTTTGATTTTGATTTTGATTGGGAAGGCAGATTTCCACAGAGAAAGAGAAACAGACAGGAAGATCCTCTGTCTGATGATTTACTCTCCAAGCAGCCGCAGCAGCCAGAGCTGAGCCAATCTGAAGCCAGGAGCCTCTTCCGGGTCTCCCACGTGGGTGCAGGGTCCCAAGGCTTTGGGCCATCCTCTACTGCTTTCCCAGGCCACAGGCAGGGAGCTGGAAAAGAAGCAGGGCAGCCAGGAGCCCATATGAGATAGCAGTGCCATAGGCTAAAACTTACCGTATTATATTCTACCACGTTGACACCTCTGAGATTCTTTCGTTCGTTGTGGTTTTACTGTCCATTGCCCATACCCAAGATCATGGAGTGTCATATATTTTCTTCTTCTAAGAGTTTTATTTTGTTTAGGATTGGTTGATTTGAAAGGCAGAACTAGAAACGGGGAGGAGAATCAAAGTTGGGGGTGTGAATCTTCCATGTTCTATATTTGATCTCTCCTCAAATGGCTAGTGGCCTGGACTAGAACATGTTGAATCCGGAAGCCTGAACCTCCATGCTGATATCCCACGTGGGTGCAGGAGCCCAAGGACTTGGGCACCCTTTGCTGCTTTCCCAGGTCATAAGCAAGGAAGTAGATCAGAATTGGAACAGCTGGAATTTGAATCAGCCCTCCAGTATGGGATGCCAGCATCACTTAACTTGCTATGCCACAAAGCCGATCCCTTTCTAAAAGTTTCATTGTGTGAACTCTTCTGTGTTTGCCTGTGATTCACTCTGCATTAGTGTATGGTGTGAGGCTGGGGTTACTCTCCCTTAATGAAATATACCAGGTTGTTGCAGCACTGTGTGACTTCTCACTGTCTTTGTACCTGCCCTCCATCCCCACTTCATGCTCCCCAGACTCAGAAGACGTTAAGAAGGCAGCCATGGAGAAAAAGGAGGAGGAGCTGGTGAGCGAGCGCACAGAAGCCTTCACCATTGCCCGCAACCTCCTGACAGCTGCCGCAGATGCCATTGAGCGGATCATGTCCTCGTACAAGGAGGTACTTCAGGCCCAGAACCCAGCCTTGCTGTGCCATCCTCTCAACTGGCAGGGGCTAAGCCAGGGTCATCTTCTGTGCAGGTGACCGAGCTGGCTGGCTACACAGCCCGGGTTCATGAGATGTTCCAAGTTTTTGAAGATGTTCAGCACTGTCGTTTTAAGAGGCCTGGAGAGTCAGAGGATGCTCAGGTGGGCTGTGGGACTGTGACACGGTCAGGTGTTCGAGTGGACACACCCCTGAAAATCCGAGGTAAGGGTGTCTCCTCACTCCTAGCCCCATTCTGTCCTTTGGGGCTCTCCCTAAGGAGAGCAGGGCTGCCCAGCAGGTCCCCGGTGGTTTCCTTCCCAGAGTGGCCTCCGGTTCCTGAGGCCCAGTAGCAGTGTTGGTACAGGATGAGAGTAGAATGTTGGTTTGTTCCCCTTGGCCTGTGGAGTGTGGGTGAAGCAGTGTGCAGGGTGCGCGGGAGGACAGCCCAAGCCCTGCACACAATCTCGCTGCAGGCCAGGTGGTAGATGTGGAGCAGGGCATCATCTGCGAGAACATCCCTATCATCACGCCTGCGGGAGAGGTGGTCGTGGCAAGCCTCAGCATCACGGTAGGTCTCACAGAGGAAGCACCCCGACCTTGATGCGTGAGCTACACTGGGCTGCTTGCGTGGCACATGACCCTTGACTTCCCACCTGCCTGTGCTGGCAGTAGCCATTGTCCCTGGATCTGCGTGGCAGGGAAGCCAAGGTCAGGGTCACATACCAACGTGTCTCTGCTTATTAGTATTAGGGCAGTAGAGTCAGAGCTGATAAAGGGATTAGCTATTACCAGGGCTGGCTAAGGGCCAGCCAGGTGTTTCTGAGCTGCTCATCACCTGTCCTGCCACCCCTGCTGACAAAGGCAAGGCACAGGGACTCGGGTACCCCTTAGTGGCCTGAGCCACTTTGCTCTGCAGTCTGGGGTCCTGCTTCACAGATATGCGGAAGGAGCTGGGGGAGCCCTCAAAGTTCCCCGGGCACCTGTGCTACAGCCAGAGTGCTGTGGGTTACAGGAAAACCAGAGCTGGAGGTGAGGGAGAAGTAGGAGGGAGATTCTCCTCCTTTCACTCCTTCCGGAAAGCAGGGGTTAGTTAGGGGAGCATGCAGGGCATCCCCACTCTGGGAGCCCCCACAGCCATTAGCTGCCAAGGCCCAACAGGGACCAAGAGAAGGGCAACCCGCATAGCTGCGAGGAGTGGTGCCATGGGGAAGCAGGGCTGGGTAGCAAGGTTAAGAAGGGCCCTCTCACAATGGTACAGGAGGGCAACAGGCCAAGAGTGGGCTAGAGGCTGGAAGTGCAACCAAACCCCAAACACTGCTGCTATCCTGGTGACCCCAAGCAGTACTCACGTGGCCCACAGACCTGCCAGAGCATCCAGAGCTGCGGGACCCTAGGACCAGACACGCGCAGCCTTGACTGCAGCAGTGGGTTCCCCCAGTCCTGGAAGCTGGGTAATTGAGACCCAGCTATGGTGGGGCAGGCTGCCAGGAGCATCTGTTCCAGGCCTCCCCAAACCCCTGTTGCTGAGCCCTCAGCTCTTCTCATTCCACGGCCCTCGCCCCCAAGTTCCCCCTTCACCCGAGGACAGCAGTCCTGGTGGCATCAGGGCACACCCACTTCCGGCATGATTTCCTGTTTATCCAGCTCAGCACCTTGGTGACTACCCCTTTGCCACATAAGATCACATTCTGAGCTTAGTGGCACTGAGGCTCCCATGGATGAATCGGGGCTAAGGGACACAATTTTACCTGTGGCTGCACAAGGTAACCCAGACACTGCTTCCCCAGAGCCCTGCACCCCAAGGGCAGAATTCCCAGTGAGGGCAGGCCCACGCTGAGAGAGAGGAGAGCCTGTTAGGAGGGGACCATGGTTCCCCTGCCGTGAGCCCTGCTGCCTGCACATGGCCCACCACACCTGTGTCCAGTATTTCTTCAACAACAGATGTTTCCATAGCTCCAAGGGGAGCCTGAGGTCAGCAGTGCTAAGTCCAGGGTCCCCAGTGACAGCTGTGAAGACAGGAAGGGCCGGGGGTGGGCAGGGAGACTGGCAGTGTGGGGCCGGGGAAGCTGTGTTTGAACTCTGGGAGTGGGTAGCAGCGGTGAGTGGCACCCAGGACCTTGGAGCATACTCCTTCACTGTGTTGTGGCAGGCTAGGCTTGGCTAGCACTGACTTGTGTTCACTGATGCTGGGCGTATGAGAGCCTGAGGGCCAGGGCCAGGCCTTGTCCATTGCCTCAGCTTGTGTCAGCTAGGCGTTCAGCTCTCTCCAGACCCAGTACCCATTCCCCAGAGGTCTGCATTGGTCCACCTGGGGCCCGAGTCAGGGGAGCGGGGAAGGAGGGCCAGGAAGGAGCCCTCTCCCATCGCCTAGCCTTTGTGCCCTCTGCAGGTGGAGGAAGGCATGCATCTGCTCATCACAGGCCCCAACGGCTGTGGCAAGAGCTCGCTGTTCCGCATCCTGGGTGGGCTCTGGCCCACCTACGGTGGCGTACTCTACAAGCCCCCACCGCAGCGCATGTTCTACATCCCACAGAGGTGAGCGTGCCCCCGGGCCTGGGCCCCGTCTCTCCCTCGCCCATCACTACTGCAGCAGCACGGCAAAGCGGGGGAGTCAGCTCCACAGCAGAAGGCCCCAAGGTACCGCCCAGAGCTCCAGATGGGCGAGTCCCTGCTCCCTCCATCTCTGGCCCAGTAGATTCATTGGTCCTTGCTGGACGTGAGGGGCCCAGCACATGCTTGCTGATATGTGTGTGTAAGTGTGTGCACATGGTGGGGGGCATGAGTGTGGGTGTGTCCACTGCCCAGAAAGCTGTGCCGGGTGTGAGCTGGGGTGAAGGCAGCTGCAGACCAGCACCCTGCGAGGCGCAGGGCCTCCCTGCCCTTGATGGACGTCCAGCTCTGCCACAGGCCCTACATGTCTGTGGGCTCCTTGCGCGACCAAGTGATCTACCCAGACTCGGTGGCAGACATGCGCAGAAAGGGCTACTCAGAGCAGCACCTGGAAGCCATCCTGGACGTTGTGCACCTGCACCACATCCTGCAGCGAGAAGGAGGTAGGCAGACAGCACACATGTGACACTCGCCCTTTGTCCCAAAGCCTCAGATGGGGAGCCTGCTTGCCCTGCCAGCCCATCCTCTCTCCCCCCCTGTGGCCCCGGGGCATAAAGATTATCTTTGCACTCAGGAGTCCAAAGTGCTAGGCACTGTGAAGCTGGGACCTCGGTGCCTGCCTCTCAGAGCCCTATCTATCAAAGAGGAACACACACGTGGCCCCTAGGGGCACAAGTGCACAGCTGATGGCAGGGGCTGGGCCGCAAACCACTGCCTTCATCGCAGAGGCTGGGACAGCCCCTTCTAGGGAAAAAAGCTCTGAGCTGAAAGCTGCAGACTACTGAATGGTCGCCCTGGCCAGCCGCAGCCGGCTCCGCAGGGCCCCTTGGGCCGGGAAGATGCCTGGGCCTGGCCTGAGTAAAGACAGGAGCCCTGGGAAGGCTTCAGACAGGGGAGGAACTGAAAATCAGTTTTGCATTCCAGCCAAGTGCAGGCCAAAGCATGGGGCCATGGGCAGTCGAGGGCACATATCCAAGGACTCGGACTGGGGGCAGAGGAAGAGTGAAGGGACAGGGAGAGGGGCTGCCAGAGGGAGGGACAGGTTGCGGCAGCATGATCTCGTCTGAGGAAGAGGGCCTTGCCCAGTGTCATTGTTCTCTGACACCTGCCAAGTGAGGGGAGAGCGGTGGGTGTCCCAATGCAGGGGCGTAGTGGAGGCCGTGGAGTTGGCTCCCTGAAATCTGAGACTGGTGCAGTGTCCAGCCCTGCTCAAGTACCTGCTGTGCATTGAGCCTGTGCACCTGTGTAGAAAAGGGGGCCGGTGTCGAGGTCAGAGCCAGGCTCAGAGTTTGGCCTGGCCTCCCATCCCTGTTCCTCCTGTGCCCCATGGCAGCCGTCACAGCCTGTCAGGGTCTAAGTTTGGCCACAGCAGGCAGAAAGTGAGTCTGCCATGCATGGAGCACTCATACTCCACTGGCCAGAACTTTGTCATGAGGGCAGCTCGCCACAAGGTAAGCTAGGCTGTCATTCGGGGCAGCCAGATGATGGGACAGAAGGAACTGAAGCATCCCTGTCCTATTGGCTCACCCCGCTGAGCAGCACTGGCACAGGTGGCCTGGCTGAGCCCCCACTCAGGACAGGAGCCCTTGCCATCCAGGGCTCTCAGCCATGGCTACTTGCTACACACTGAAGGGAGTGGCAGCTGCTTCTTCGATAGGGCCCCTGTTTGCCATCACATTCCCAACCAGGAGCCTCAGCTACACCATGGGGCATTCCTGCTTCCTGAGGTCAAGGTTCCTCCTGGGCTATGAGGGCAGGATGCTCAGTGACCATGATGAGGGCGTGGCTCAGCAGTGGCCATCTTCCCTGGGTGTTTATGCACTCTCCTTCCTGTGCGTGTGCCTCCATGCCCCAATGTTCCCTTTGCACGGTGACGCCTGTCACACTGGGCTGGGGTCTGCCCTAATGACCCCACTTGAATTTGATCAGCTGTGGAAAGGCCCTTCCTCAAAATATGGTCACACTCAGGTACTGGGGGTTAGATCTACAATTTATCTTTAGGAGGGTCCCAATTCTAGTCCCAACTCTTGTTATTTTTATTATTGTTATTATTTTATTTATTTCAAAGGCTGAGTTACAGATTGAGAGAACTCTTCCATCTGCTGGTTCACTCCCCAGATGGCCACAATGGCCAGTGCTGCGCCGATCTGAAGACTGGAGATTCCTCCAGGTCTCCTACACGGGTGCAGGGTCCCAAGGCTTTGGGCTGTCCTCCACTGCTTTCCCAGGCCACAAGCAGGGAGCTGGATGGGAAGCAGAGCTGCCAGGACTAGAACCAGCACCCATAGGGATGCCAGCATAACAAGCAGTGGCTTTATCTGCTCCACCACGGTGGCAGTGCCGAAATCTTGCCATCCTGGGAGGGGCTGAGACAGACACAGTCACAGAATGCCAGGGCCCTGTGTTTGTGTTGAATCGAGTGGAGCTTGTTGTCCACTGTCTAGGCTGGGAGGCGGTATGTGACTGGAAGGATGTGCTCTCTGGAGGAGAGAAGCAGAGGATTGGCATGGCCCGCATGTTCTACCACAGGTGAGCCCCGGGGACCAGAGCCAGCAGCAAGACCAGAGCAGGGCGGGGAAATGGGGGAAGGGGGCAGTCCGGTGGGGCTGGAGAGGGTGGCAGGACTTGGCGCTGGCAGCCTACAGCCCAGCCCTTGCCCCCAAGGCCCAAGTATGCCCTGTTGGATGAGTGCACCAGCGCCGTGAGCATCGACGTGGAAGGCAAGATCTTCCAGGCAGCCAAGGATGCCGGCATTGCGCTGCTCTCCATCACCCACCGGCCCTCCCTGTGGTAGGAATCCCTGCAAGCCTGCACCAGAGAGGCTAGAGTGCCTCCTGCAGCCTGGGTTGGCCAGGGCTACTCCCAGGGGCAGTTGGGGTCAGGGGAACTGCCTCTGGGGCAGCCAGCAGCCTGGTCTCTCTGCCGGCCAGGAAGTACCACACACACTTGCTGCAGTTCGACGGCGAAGGCGGCTGGAAGTTTGAGAAGCTGGACTCAGCCGCCCGTCTGAGCCTGACTGAGGAGAAGCAGCGGCTGGAGCAGCAGCTGGCCGGCATCCCCAAGATGCAACGACGCCTGCAGGAGCTCTGCCAGATCCTAGGCGAGGCCGCGAACCCAGGGCAGCTGACAACCCCCAGCCTGCCAGGCCCCAGCATCCCCACCTGATCAAGGGCCTTGTTGCACAACTCTGTGCCCATCCCCAAGCTCTCGGATCACATGAAGGAAGCAGCAACACCACCCCCCCCCACTCTCGCCCTCCTCCTGGCCCTCTGCTCACCCCTGCATGCCTCTCCATGGCCTCAGGATGCCCTGCCCTGGGCCTGACCTTCCTAAAAGACCCCAGTGAACCCTGGGGACCCCTGCCCATGAGGGCACATTCAGGGTGGTGCCCTACTGCCTAGTCCGCATTTCTCACCCCTCATCCCTCTCCTGGGGAGCTGCTCCCCAATTCCTATGTCCTGTACTTTTCTCAAGGGACAGGGAATGTGGCCTGGGGTTAGTAGCTCTGGGCCCGTGCCTCTTCAGTCCCTCCAAAACCCCACAGTCCATCACTCACATGCCATCCCCCAGGGTGGCCAACCAAGGCTGCAGTCCCACGGGACACCCTTCCTGCCATGGAAGCAACCAAATAGTAACCCTAGTCAGACGGAGCTCTCGTCTGTACCCTCCTTACCGCACCAGTGGGCCCAAGGAGCCCCAGAGAAACTTGTCCAGCATAGCCTGTCCCACTGTCCCTATAGCCTAATTTATTGGCGTCCCTGTTTGAAGCTGTGTCAGTTGCCAGTGGGAGCACCTGTCAGCAAAGGAGGTGGCCACTGTGCTCCCTCCACGCTACCCTGCCCTCCACCAGCCTACACTGCCAGCTGCCTCTGGGGCCAGGCCAGAATGAGGGCTCCTTGTTCCCAGCTCAGTGCCAAAGAGGGGTCGGCAGGGAGCGCCATGTGTGCAAGGCCAGCCCTCGCCGCAAAGGGAGACCTCACAGCCATGTGCCTTTCCCCGGCCCTCAGCCCTCCGGCTGGGTGCTCCCTCTGTCCCCTCAGTAAAGACCTCTATGGAAGGCACATACCTGCCTTCGTGTCCTGGTGGTGGAGCTTCGGGGACAAAGGGAGAGGCTGCAGGCCACCTGTGGGAGGCGGGCAGAAAGGGTGAATTTAGGAAAGGAGGCGCTCTACCCTCCAGGCTCTGTGGGAGAGGAGCATGGGCACTCAGACTTCTCGACCTGTGCCAGGCTCAGGGACAAGTGAAGAAAGGGGCTGGGCTGGCACACCTTGTAGGCCACACTCAGGAGTGTGGACTTGGGTCAGAGTGGCCTGCAGGATGGAAACGTGGGGTGTACTGATGGCTGAAAACACAGCATGTGGCATGTCCCTGGGACATGCGTGAACCAAGAAAGCACTGCTGTGTCCCCGAAGTCATGCTCAGTGCTGTCACACATCTTACGCTGCCATTTACGGTAGCCAGGCAGGATGAAATCCCGGAGGCACAAAGCAGACGAAGGTGGCTGCGGCTGCAGCGGCGGGGGGGGGGGGGGGGGGTGTGCAGAGCTGCCTTTGGGGGAGACGGAGCTGTTGTGCTTCTGCAGAGATGGCGGTTGCCCTGCACTGTGGGGCTCCTCAGTACTGTGTGGGCCAGTTCAAAGAGCAGTCACCGCAAAACATGAGTTGATGCTAGATAGTAACTGAGAGAAGATAGATGGACAGCTAATAGACTGCCATGATAGAGTGATACACAACTGAGAAATGAATAGATGCTAGCCAGCTAAATGGGTGACAGGCAGCAGCTTCACCATTCGCTGCTGAAATAATACCTGGGGCTGGGGAAGGGAAGGGATGGGTGAATGGACACACAGATGGATAACAAAGCAGTGAGACACGAGCGAGCATTGCATGAGCCATGCTGAAACCTAAAACTGCAGAGATCTGCCCATTAGAAAACCATAGGTTGGGCCTGGCGTGGTGGCCTAGTGGCCAAAGTCTTCACCTTGTGCACAACAGGATCCCATATGGGTACTGATTCATATGCTGGCTGCCCCACTTCCCATCCAGCTCCCTGCCTGTGGCCTGGGAAAGCAGTGCAGGACGGCCCAAAGCCTTGGGACCCTGCACCCACTTGGGAGACCCGGAAGAAGCTCCTGGCTCTGGATCAGCTCATCTCTGGCCATTGCGGCCACTTGGAAAGTGAATCATCAGACGAAAGATCTTCCTCTCTGTCTCTCCTCTCTGTGTATCTGATTTTGCAATAAAAGTAAAATGAATCTTAAAAAAGAGAGAGAGAAAGAGAAAACCATGGGCGCAGCACATGCATTATGGCACAGCATGTTAAACCACTGTATGGAAGACATGCCTCCCATTTCAAAGCACCTGCTTCAAGTCCCAGCTACTACAAACTTGTGATCATGCTTCCTGCCGATGTGCATGGAGGCAGCACACAACAGCCCAAGTACCTGAGTTCCTGCCACCCGTGTAGGAGGCTACAGTGGAGTACCTTTTGGTTAGACCAGGCCATTCCTAGGGAGTGGAAGAGGAAGAAAGGAAGGTGTGTGTGCATGACTCTGCCTTTCAAATAAATAAATAAATCTAAAAAAAAAAATAAAGACACAAAGAACTTTGACAGACACTAGGTAGAGAAGGGAGAGGAGCAACCTTCAATGGGGGAGAGAGTTGAGCTGGACCCTGGGAGCTGGATAACAAGTGGAACAGCCAGGACTCAAAACAGCACCCATATGGAGTGCTGGAGCTGCAAGCAGAGGCTAAGCCTACTGTACCACTGCACTGGCTCCAGGGGCCCTGGGTTTTGGCTCGGAGGTGCCCTTGGCAAGAGAGGCAGCACCCAGGAGGGCAGGGGTGAGAAGGTGCAGAGGCCGCGGGCCTGGCAAAAAGTGGCAGCGTGGAACTTGCAGTATAGAATGGGTGCTTCATTTCTCATTTGGAGCTTGATCCACATTTGGAACCTAAGGTTTGTTGCTGATCTCAGGAGAGGTGGAGAGGAAGGAATACTGGAAAAAGTCGGCTTCAGGGCCAACTTTCCGTTGGAATAGAAGTCACTGTCAGTGATGAGCTGGGACTTCGAATGAGCCAAAAAGGAGCAAAAAAAAAGTCACCGCGGGTCTGGCGCCTTGAACGTGCCGGGATCCTATATGAGCACCGGTTCTAGTCCCGGCAGCTTCACTTCCCATCCAGCTCTTATTCTCCCTGGCTTTGCTCTGGCCATTGCAGCCATTTAGTGAATGAACCAGTGGGTGGAAGATCTTTGTCTCTCCCTGTCTCCGTAAATCTGACTTGCCTTTCAAAAAAAAAAAAAATTAATAGAATAAAACAAGTGCCCAGTGCAGTAGCCTAGTGGTTACAGTCCTTTTGCACGCTCTGGGATCCCATATGGGTACTGGTTGGTAATCCGGTGACCCTGCCTCCCGTCCAGCTCCCTGCCTGTGGCCTGGGGAAGCAGTGGAGGACAGCCCAAAGCCTTGGGACCCTGCACCTGCGTGGGAGACCTGGAAGAGGCTCCTGGCTTTGGATCAACTCGGCTCCAACCTTTGCGGACACTTGAGGAGTGAATCAGCAGATGGAAGATCTTCCTCTCTGTCTCTCCCTCTTTCTGTAAATCTGACTCTCCGATAAAAATAAATATTTTGAAAAGCAAAACAAAATAAAACACAGGGAAATACTGTCTGAAGCAAGCTCAAATGATAGAGAGCAGCCCCCCTTCCTCGCTGAGCACCTGTGTGTGTTTCCTCGCCTCCCTTGCTTCTGTTTCCCTACCTGTGTGAGCCAGCAGAATAGCCATCGGGTCTTGCTGGGAGGTGTAAATGTGCCAACCCATGTGTACACAGTAGGCACTTTGTGCAGTGGGAGCGAGGGCACCACGTCTCACCTGCTCCAGGCAGTGGCTCACAGTCAGACCTCTGCCATGCCTACCTCAACCAGCAGAGGGAAGTAGCGCCCTGCCCTGCACTGTCGGGCAAAGGGGCGGGCCGGGAGGGGCCGGCCAGCAGAGATGAGCTGAGCCGGGAGCGATTGCATTGTGGGGAGGGAGGCTGGGACTCCCCGGCAACTCACTCTGGGCACTGCCAACTGCTGTTCGATCCCGGCCGGCAGCCCCCCCACCCCCGGTAAGCAGGAGCTGGGACTGGTGTGGGCGCGGGGCCCTGCCATGGTGAGGGGTGGCCATCAGCCCCAGGCGGACTTACACTGAGGAGTAGCCACAGTCTTCAGGGTTGAATTACCAGGCTCAGGTAAAGGCCCACAGGAGCTACAGCTGCCCTCTCCCCACACCTCCCACTGCCTGGCCTGTGGGCACTGCCCACCAGGGGCGGCCCTGGAGCCTAGAGGTTGGGAACAGGGATTTCAGACCCCAACAGCAGCCAGAGCCAGCCCAGGGTAGAGTGCAGGGCAGGGAGGCTGCTGCCTGACTCCCTACCCCCATAGCCACCCAACCAGCCCAGCCAGGTGGCAGCCTTCACTGCCACCTCGCCCTGGAGTCCACTGCCATGCACTGGCTGGGAGGTGAGAACCCTGAAACAGCTACTCCTGTTTCTGCAGGGGCCCTGGCTAGTGGTCCCAGGGTGTTCTGGGGGGGTAGCGGGCAAGACAGTTGGCAGGTGCCTCTCCCTCCCCCACGGGTGGTGGGGGCAAGGAGGGGTCTAGGCCCAGACAGACAGCCGTTTCCTTGAGAGCAGACAAGGACTGGGGTCCTGGTGGCTGCACATCCTCCCCTGGTACCACCCAGCACCAACATGCCCCCAAGGACTGAGGGCTGTGGGCTCCTTGGCCAGTCTTCTGGGGGCGGGGGGCGAAGGTCTTCTGCCTTTGTCAGCACCTCCTCTGCCCTCAGCCAGACAAAGGCTGGCATTGAGGACCAGGGCTGGCACAGAGAGCAGGCACCAAGGCTACCAGGGCTGAGGCTGTGAGGCTGGCTCCATCCTGGGCATTCTGAGGCCTGCCCTGTGCCCTTCACAGAGACTGGGATGCAAGCAGGGGCACCATCAGCGGGCACCGGGTCATGAGGTCAGATGGGGAGGGCTGGCTACAAACGCTGTCCCTTTGTCCCTAGATCCTAGGGGGTGTCTCCTGGGGAGTGATGGGGAGTGGCAGGGAGCCCCCCCGCCCCCCCCGCCTTTCAGACCAGCACCAGATAGTGGGTCCCTGGTCTGGGCCTCTGGACAGAGGAGCCATTGTTGGGGTGGAGGCAGGGCTGCCTTGGCCCGGCCACTATTGACAAAGCTGCCAGCTGTGGCGGAGCCCGGTCGCCAGGCCCTTGCCCTACCCCCAGGGCCGGCGTGAATGGGGCTGAGCCTCAACTGTTGCCCTCCCACTCAGGACAATGCCCCCCACAGCCATCTTGTGCCTGTCCCCACTGCCCTAGGGGAGCTGGGTGAGCCCTCTGCTGCAGCATCTTGCCGGTGAGTGCCCGGGCCCCATGTCCCTG